CTTTGACTTTTGCCACGACCAAGTCCCTCATTCCCATCCTCACACAACCTCCTCCCTGGGCTGGAAACAGCATTCATGCTACCACACAGCAAAACATTCTTTAGTTGGGTTGTTTTTCCATCCAGATCCCTTTTCCAACCGAGTTTACCACAGGACTCGTAGCAACGTCTCAACTTCCAGCTTAGGACATGCTGGGGAGCTCAGAGGGGCCAAGCAAGAGCCCCAGCACTTGCTGGACTCCATCCTTAAGTTTAATGCCTAAGAGCCAAGCCTCAATTTTCCAAGTTCAGCACCAGAAACCTGAATGACACAGGAACAGTGTCATTCCAGCTCAGCTCCATATGAAGCTACAGGAGAAAATAAACCCAAGGACATGCCCCAGTCCCAGCTCAGGAGTCAGGACCTGAGCCAAGCTGCTGCTGTTTGCACTGTCATGTTGCTCCAGCCTGCACCAAACAATGCCAGCAGGATCAGCACACCTCTGGCCTTCACAGACCCAGCTCAGGGCTCTCAAGACACAGACAGTCAGAGCCAGAAGGTACCAAGGAGGACCTGAGGTGATGTCCCTGTGGGAAGCGAGGTTAGTTATACCCAGTACTCCAAAATGAGAACATTTTGGAAGAAATTAAAAGAAATTCTTTACTGGGAGGGTGGAGAGGCCCTGACACAGGTTGCCCAGAGAAGCTGTGGTTGCCCCTGGATCTCTGGGAGTGCCCAAGGCCAGGCTGGAGCAACCTGGGATAGTGGAAGGTTTCCGTGCCCATGGCAGGGGGGTGGAATGAGATGAGCTTCAAGGTCCCTTCCAACTCAAACCACTCTATGATCTGCAAGCATCCAAGACACAAGATTCATAACCCTAAAAAAAAAACAGGCAGTGAGGACCTTTGGCTCCACTGTTCCAGACAAACCTGGGCATGGGGAGGTTATGGCAGGGAATGGCCACAGCACGATGCCAGCCCAGTAAATGGATCAGGCAGGTACATCCAGGTCAGCCAGAGCAACACTAATCCCAGGCACTGACATGGAAGAGTTGATCAAGGATTTAGGGAACACATCTTAATTACAGTCCTGCTTTAATCCCAGTCAGGAGCTGCTTAGTAGAAACACGACCCAATCTAGTGCTTCACTTCATTCTTGGGTTAAACAGCCCTGTAATCTCTCTGAACACACACGATTATATTTAATAGGAGTTTCATATCTGCTCTAGTTCTACATAAAAGCCCAGACTGGATGATTAATTGCTGTCTGAGATAGAACTTTTCTCAGGTTTCCAGCAGGGCACTGCTAAGTACCAGTCCCAACACGCCTGATAAAACCTTAGGCACCAAGGAACAACCTAGAAAGCAAATATACATCCAAAAGGAAACAAAAAGACTGATGATATAATTTGCAGATGACACAAAAGCTGGCAGAGTAACCAGCCATGAAATCAAGCAGAGAACAATCCCTTGGAAATCCTGATCCTCCCCAGCAACTTGCAGTGCAGGAGAACCAAGAGAGAAGGTGCAGATGCGGTGATGAGGAGCATGAGGAGCTCCCAAGGAAACAACTCTGCATGCAGGAACAATTCCTGTTGGAACACTGAGGAAAAGACCTGCTCCAGCCTCCCAGGGTACAAGTGGGAGATTGTTACAGTGGTGGTGTAATTTTATGTGCATCTCAAGTGGTGAGGAGACAGCAAAGAACATTGCAGCTACACCTGTGTGGGCAGCCAGGGCTGCTTCAATTGATCAAACGGGGTTTAAAAATTCCTTGCGCTTATCAAGTGCTGCTTAAAAATCCTTCACTCGCTTCAAAAAGCTGCAAATGCAGCTTGAGAGCAGGAAAAGGGTTTTCAAGAGTGACAGACTCGCGGAGCTCAAGCTGTTTAACCAAAAGGAGGATTAAGGAGTGACTTAATCCCAGGCTGTATCTGAAGCCTGAGGTGACACCAGGTGTTAAAGGACACTGCAGAGGAGCACAGGGAAGGACAGCAAAACATCCTCGGGCTGGGACCAAGAACTGCTGTGAAATTATTTGCAATTCAGATAATCACAAGGACTCACCCTTGGCTGAGCACAGGGAGAGGGGGCGAAGTTATACAGCCCACATTTATGGGGTGTGACACAAGAAAACCTCGCTGTTATCCATCCTCACTCCCAGTGACCAGAGCTGGAATACTACAGGCCACCACTAGTTTCCCATCACTTAAAAAACAAAAAAAACACAGCTGAATCGGACACAAAATTCACTAAAGAGCAACAAACTTCAAATAAGTGTAACATAAATTAGAGCACTCAGGCGTCACAGCTTAACCAAGAGGTGGTTTTAAGCTAGAAAGGGTTTCTCTTCCCCTTTCTGATCCTGCAGAATTAAGTGATTCTTCAAAACCCACACAGAGAGGAGATCCAAAAATACTCCGTAAAAATCAAGTGGAACACCAGTAAGGACGAAAAAAGAGGAATTAGCACAGCAGAAGGAAGTGGAATTAGGAGCAATGGGTATAATTAGTAGAGGCTGAATAGCAGGAAAGACATCCTGAAGTGGATTATTTTGATTCCAGGAGCATCACGGGCTCGAGGAGATCCCCACAGACTCACTGAAGGCACTCGGTGTCCTTCAAACTCGACATTCCCTATTAGGAAAAGGGAGAAGAGACCTGGACGGCCCCAGAGCCAGAGGTGGGACTGGCACAGCTCATCACACGCACCAGGGCCGGGGCAGTTTATTTTTAGGAAGCGGTGCCTGTCCCTGAGGAGGGGCAGGCTCGGCCCCACATCTGCACAGCGCCGGCACAATGGAGTTCCGGCCCATGCCACCGACTCCCAGAATCCCGGCCAGAACTGAGCACAAAAACAGGGCTGGAAGGGACTTCAAGGAAGGAGGAATCTCATCCTTCCCCTGCCCCAGGGCAAGAGTTACTACACTTGCTATTTTTCTAAACACAAAACTCTCTCTCCCTGCTGGGTGGGACACAAACCCACCCAGACAGATGAATCAGTTGGACCTTCCAAAACTCCATCTCTTAACCCCTCTATCCCCGTCCCACGAGGGCAATCCAGCAATCCAGGACACCCTGGAGCGGCTGCACCCGGAATATCTCGCTGTGCCCAGGCAGAAACTGATAAAAGCACAACTCTGCAAACAAGTCCTGGCAGTCCAGCCTAGCTCTGAGCTGCGCTTTGGGAATGTTGTTCCTAGAAGGGAAGCCAGCCTGGCTCCTGGAGACACATTTCTTCCATGATGCCTACAAGAAGTGAGTCACCTTTTTTTTTTTTTTCCTTCCCAAAAAAGTTTCCACCATCCTCTTTTCCAGACTCTCCAGCACATCGTGTTTACCCTGAGCTGGTAAAGTTTCAACTCTAAAAATCCTTGGGGCAGGTATAGCTTACAATTATATCATTAATAATATTCCTAATGAAATATCACCACACTCCAAAAGTTAATGCAAGCAAAGCCCAAACCTTTCTCTGCCCAGACACTTATTAACGTTTCTCCTGTGGGTATGCAAAGATCAACATTAAACGCAACTCCTCATCTAACCTTAATACTGAGAAACAAGATCAACTGCACTTAGTCCTCTTAAATGGAAAAAAAACCCACCCACACTCTTCATTCTGGCAGTTCCCACACATTCAAACCAGTTCTTTCAGTTTCGAAAATAAATCTAATTCTCAGCATCTCCTACTGTTCAGTTTACCTGGAAAGGTTTCACGGAGAACTTCAGGAAGAAAACTGGAAGAAGTCACAAAAACGAAGAAATTGGGCATCTGAGGGAAATCCGGCGCTCCATCGCTCCACAAATTAAAAGCTTTCCCATTTTCATCCTGTGCCAGCACTGCAGTATGGCTGCGAGTCACACAGCCTTAAACCCATTTATTTTTAAAGGCAGCCACTCAAGTCATTTAAAACCATGACTTTGTAAAACTTAAGAGACAAAGGGCTGCTGCAGAGGGGGGTGGGACGGGAGGCTCCAATCCTGATTGTCCCCAAACGCTCCCACCTGGTGCTGTGATTTCAACACTGGAAGCACCTGTGTTGGTGCAGAGCCGTTGGAAGGGGGAGGTGAAACCCAGGGCAGCACCTCGTTCCTCTCATGACAAACACCTGACTTAGCACCCAATTTAACTCTGCGACAACACAACGATTTAGATTTTGCAGCTGAGCAACACCCCCTCCACCTTCCCCCACCTGAGCAATGTGGTTACGACGAGCCAGAATTGTCCCTCCACCCATTTGCACCATCGATATTCCAGAGGATAAAACACGCACACCTGAGCTCAGCAAACATTTTGGGTTGATACGAAGTTCTCTGGAGAACTTCTGTGTTAATTTAAAGATGGGGAAGGAGGGATGAGTTATCTCACTATCTCAGGACAGCAATGCTGATGTGGTCCAGCTAAAAGGACGTTTAGACGTGCGTAATTCACCTAAAATATCATATTTTTAAAGAAATCGAGTGATGAGTTACACAGCCAGCTACCGCATATTTTATATGAACAACACAGCAGAAGCCACTGGGGCAAAACAAACAAACACCTAAAGGAGCCGGAGCGATGGGAAGGAGCTGCTGGCAAAGGGAATGGGGCAGGAGCCACATCCATCCGCGCTCCTCGGGCACCGGGAGAGCTCCGCATCCACCGCAGGCGAAGCCGCGGGCTCTCCCAGCCCGAGGATTCCGCAAGAACCGCGGGGGGAAAAAGATGCTTAACGGGAGAACAAAGGATCCATTAAGCAAACAAGAGGCATTAAAACTCGTCTCCCGGTCGGGACGGCGATCGCGCCCCGTCCCCCGCCGCGTCACCCGCGGGAGAAACCCACAAGGAAACCGACCCAAGGGGGGTTTCCAGGGATAAAATCCCGCCGGGAGAACTCTGACAGATGCCCCAGGGAAGCCCGCCCGTGCCCGAGGGGCGCAGGGGAGGGGACGCGCCCCGGGGGACTCGGGGGGGGACCGAAGGGAACCGCAGGGAAGCTCCGCCACCCCTTTCCCCCCGCGGCGCCCGGGCAGGGTCGCGCACCTGAGCGTGGGGCCGATGCAGGCCGTGTCCGTGCTCTCGATCTCCCGCAGGATCCGCTCGTGCTCCGCCGCCGTCTCCAGGCTCTCCAGCTCCGCCATCTTCCCCCGCTCCATCGGGGGCCGCTCCACCTGCCCGGCCCTGCCCGGCACTCCCCGCTCCGGGCGGCGGCGGCGGCAGCGCCGGGGCCGCTCCAGCCCCCGGCTCCGGCCCCGCCGCGCCCGGCACGCCGGGAAATGTAGTGCGGGGCAGCGGGGCCGGGCCGCGCCGGCGCTGCCGGGGCACCCGGGGAGGAGGAGGAGGAGGAGGAGGAGGAAGGGAGGATCCGGAGGAGGGGGAGGCGGCGGGAAGGGGGAAGGCGGAGGTGGTACCGCTGAGCGGGCACCGCTGTCGGGGCACAGCCGTGGCAGTGCCCGAACGCCCCATTAGGGGTCACAGCCCCACGGTGGTGACATCCATCATCAGGGCACACAGTCCCGTGGAAAGGACTCCATGATTCTCTCCCTTCTCAGGGGACACAGCCCCACGGTGGTGACATCCATCATCAGGGCACGCAGTCCCGT